CATTGGGGGTATGTGATGAACCACCGTCACTATGTACCATGCCCACTGCTTATTTGTGTGTTTTCTTTCATTGTATTGTGTGTTATTCTTCTTCTTCTTTTTCCCCCCCATGTATTGGTTATGCATTTCGTGTGATTTCCCTTTTTTATTTTTAGGGTTCCTATATGTTTGGGATGTATATTAAATAGTTTATGTTGTATTATCTGAAACTCTAGTGCCTGGTGGATAATTGGGTTAAGCAAATGTCTCTTTTGGATATGGTATTAAATCAAGGGTTTCCTGTTTCTAGAAGGCTTGATCATTACTGTGACGAACCACCTGGCACCCTGACCGGGTACCTCCATCAGTCGCTGCTTCCTAGTACTTACGAGCACCATAAGCACTGTACTGGAACACCATAACCACCGTAAACCCCACTAACCGCCACAGCTTGGTTGGGGTCTTGCTGTCCTCCACCCACCCTGGACCCAAGACCAAGACCCAAGACCAGGATCCAGCTTCCAGTGGGTAGACCTCTCCTAGTCCAAAGAGCGTATCATCTCTTATAAGATCTAGTGATTATACTCAGGGGAATATAGTGATTATAGCAATCCCCAGAGTGAATGTAGTTCTCCAATCCCCCAAACATGAGCCAAGACTTCATGAAGGGGTAAACGAACCTCAGTTTAATGGGAGCCACACTTGTGCCGCTGGAGGACTGACCAGGAACCGCAAAGTTTTTATGCCGAAAATAGTTCCAGGGCATTTTGCGACTAAGTCCCCCTGAAGTCTATTTGCGGTTTTGGTCCATGCGAACAAGATGACCACCACCTCGTGGTCGTCCATAGGAATTGCGGCCACCCAGATGAACACTTAGACCACTGCGTTGGAAATTGCAACAATGTATCAATTAAGCTTAACAAGCTCCAGGGTGGTCTCCGGTTCGTGTGGCTGTTCGGTAAACAAACCATATAGTCCCAATTGCACGAACAGAGCCTGTTTAAAGTATTTTAGCCAGGTCTATTGCAGGGACCATAGTCACAGGGTAGGAGGCCGGCAGACAGGCGAGGTGGTGAGGTTACTTTCGCCACAATTACCATATCAAAAGACTTCCAGGACATGTCAGTGTGACTTCTCACACCCTACAGAATAGCTCTGGTGGAGTCCAAGCTTCAAAGAGGGATTGGGGTTGTAAGCTTGGATACTCCATGCAATCCAATTAACACATTTTAGAAATTGGAAAGGTACTTTTCCGGTGTTTGAAATTGTATGTTTTTTTTGTAAGTATCTGGGAGATAATTGAGTTGTACTGTTCCTGACTCAATTATTTCCCAGACACAGCGACACCGGGGCGGGCACTTTGAATAGAGTCTGTGCATAAAAGCTGTGTGTTCTAATAAAGATGGTCAGTGTTTAAACCTCCAGAACTGTGTGTCCTCTGGTTACTGGAGGGAAGGAAGATTTAACCCCTGTGTCAGCTGTTCAAGCTTGCAGGAGATACAACTGGGCAAAGTCCTTGTAAGGACTAAGGGCTTCCATGACTGTGTCTTCCTGGGAGCTCATAGAGCTAAGTCCCCTAACCATGTAAGAATTCCTGATCGGCTAAAGGAAGGGAACTAGCGAAGGTAACCAGTCGGGTTACCAAGCGTCCCACCACACTGGGGGCAAGTGGCGGGATCATACTTCCCAGCCAGAATGAACGAGCATGGCACCCAGCAACACGGAAGCGGAGTTGGACCAGAGGCTGAAGAAGATGCTGGCTTACTTTGGGCCAAACCCTGCCAAGAAATACATACAGCAAATGAGGAAGCTAGTGGCCGAGTACCTGCAGCACCAGGCAGAATGGCAGATGCAGGGGGAGAAGCGCCCCGTCCTTCCTCTCTAACAGCAATATAAGGTCCTTCCTCAACAGCGGCAAGGTGGAGTCCAGTGAGTGGAGACAAACCGGTCTCGCTCCCCAGTGGCAAAGGGAGTCCAGGGAGCAGAGACAACCGGTCTCGCTCCCCAGCAACCGTGTGAAGTTATGGGAATGGAGACAACCGTTCTCGGTCCCCAGCGGCTGTGTGAGTTCAAGGGAATGAAGGGAACCAGTCTCGTTCCCCAGCGGCAGTGTGAGGTCCTCGGAACAGAGACAACCGGTTGTCTGAGATCCTGGGAGAGAGGTGTTCTGTCCTTGCTCCACAGCAACAGTGTAAGGACAAAGGAACGGAGACAACTGGTCTCGTTCCCCAGCGGCAGTGTGAGTTATGGGGAGAGATAACCACTGGTACGGAGGGTGCCGTGGCTGGGACTTTGGTCGCCACGGGCACCCTGCAAGTGGAAGAGTTGGCTCCTCTGACTCTTGGAGCTGAGTCCAGAGACCCAGCATGGTTGGATCAGCGGGTAGCGGGCGAAGCTACGGCCGCCGCTACCCCTTCCCATAAGGAAGCTCTGGCATCCGAGCAGTGCACTCCCAGCCTCTGCTCGCTCCTTCCCCAGGAGCCAGTTGTTGTGGAGGCGCAGGCCTCCGGGAAGAGGGCAGGTAGCCTTTGCCCACCCCAGGAACCGATGAGCACAGAGGCGAGGACCTCCAGGCAGAGGCTACTGAGTCTTTGCCCACCCTTGTTGCCTAAACTGGGCCCTGGCAGCTGTGCAGGACCCCCGGAGCAAGTAGGAGTGAGATCCAGAGATCCCCAGTATCCCGAAAAGCACAGTTGGCTCTCCTCCCCAGAAGACAGCCAAGTCCCCAGGGATGCCCAGAAAACAAAGCTGCGGCCAGCAGCCAACCCCTATCCTCCTCACCCAGCCAGGAGAACCACGGAGATCCATGTGATGAGCAGGTGGGGGATACAATTGTTTGGGTGGGGCTTGTTACAAGCACAGGAAGCCAGGTGGGCACCTTTGTTTGGGTGGAGGTTGTACGGGCTCAGAGACCCCTGGGTACCGGGGCCCGGGATGGATGGCCTCCCAGGCTAAAGAGACTTTATAACTCCGCCCAGGACTCTAGGAGGGGCTGGTCTGGGATGAGTACTGTTGGGGGGGGCATGGAACTACAGGACTATGGGTTCCCTCCTGGCAACAGCAAGCTGACCAATGTGAGTCATGCTGCGGCTGCCGGAGGTGGACAAGGGGGAAATGTGTGACGAACCACCGTCACTACGTAACATGTCCACTGTTTATTTGTGTGGTTTGTTTTCATTGTATTGTGTGTTTCCCCTTGCATTCGGTGTTTTCCCATGTATTGGTTATGTATTTCATGTGATTTCTCTGGTTTATTTTTAGGGTTCCTATATGTTTGGGATGTATATTAAATAGGTTATGTTTTATGATCTGCAACACTAGTGCCTGGTGAATAATTGTCGTCTCTTTGTGGGAGCTCATAGAGCTAAGTCTAACCATGTATGAGTTCCTGATCGGCTGAAGGAAGGGAAGTTACCAGGTGTCCCACTACCGGGTATATTTAAAATAGCTCTCTTCTTTGCAGCCTTTGGAGTTGGAGGATTTTTCTAAATCAGCACTTTTTGCCTTAATTTTGTAATTAGCTTTATATTCACTATTTACTGTTCACTGTTTAGTGAAAAAAAACAAAAAAACATCAACAATCTATTTAAAGGGCATGTACTCCATTTACAGTGAGAGATCAAAGCATTCGGTGCACGCAGATTATTATTATTATTATTATTAAGATGATATTTATAGAGCGCGGTCAAATTCCGCAGCGCTTTACATTGGGTGGACGAACAGACATGTAGTTGTAACCAGACAAGTTGGACACACAGGAACAGAGGGGTTGAGGGCCCTGCTCAGTGAGCTTACATGCTAGAGGGAGTGGGGTAAAATGACACAAAGAGGTAAGGATAGTATTAGACTAATGACAGTTGCAGAAGAGGACTCAGTCAGGAGCTATTAACAGTTTAATTGATACGCTTTAAACTATTTTTTGAAGGAGTGGAGACTGGGTGTGAATCTAATGGAGGAGGAAAGCGAGTTCCACAGGAACGGTGCAGCCCTCGAGAAATCTTGAAGGCGAGCATCAGAGGTGGGAGTACGGACAGAAGATAAACGTAAGTCTTCAGCAGATCGTAAGGGCCTAGACGGGACATACTTCTGTATAAGGGAGGATAGATAGGTGGGAGCAGCATTATGTAGAGATTTGAAAGCAAGAACCAGAATTTTAAATTGAGCTCTATATTTTATAGGAAGCCAATGTAGGGATTGACAGAAGGGTGAGGCATGGGAGGTGTGGGCGGACAGGAAGATGAGCCTTGCCGCCGCATTCATTATGGACTGTAACGGCGCTAGTTGGGAGCACATGAGACCACTGAGAAGCGGATTACAGTAGTCAAGGCGAGAAAGGACAGTGGAATGGACCACCTTAGTCGCATCTGGCGTTAAGAGGGGCGGATGCGTGCAATGTTTTTTAGATGGAAATGACAGGATTTAGCGATAGATTGAACATGAGGCTTGAAGGAGAGGTCCGAGTCAAAGAGAACACCTAGGCAGTGAGCCTGCGTGGTGGAGCTGATGGTAGCACCGTTGACTTGGAGGGAGACAGACACAGGAGTAACAACACTTGAGGGAGGAAAGACCAGACTTTCAGTTTTGGTCAAGTTTAGCTTAAGGAAGTGGGCAGCCATCCAGTTAGAAACAGCAGAGAGGCAGTCAGAGACACTAGTGATCATCATCATTAGCATTTATATAGCGCTTTACAATTATGGAATGGGTATATTTGTAATAAATATACACAAATTAAGAGCTTACAATCTATAAAACATTAAACATTAAACTTTAGAATCAGATGGAATCAAGCTAGAATAACATTGGCAACTGAGGAGCAATTTTATTTTTATTCTACATGTCTTCATTTACTATAAAGACAAGAACTGAGTTTTCTTTAAAAGAATAATACCAAGTTGTATCTTTTTGCCATATTGATAAAAATTAACCTGTCTTTACTGTTGTACCTATAGGACATGTGCTATTTACTTACATCCAGCAGGGGGAGCTCTCGGAAAAAAACAGCCTGCTCTAAAAAGCTTCTTTTTTTTTGTTATGCAGCAAATCCCTTAGCAATGCCCTGACCTTCTCTCAGTAAACACACGTTGGCTTGCATTCTGATTTATTTTACTAAATTTATTTTGTTATTTTTTACATATATATATATATACAGAAGTAGATGTGATCCTGTTTGTGGCTGTTATCCAGTCTAGAGATGTTGGTGTTAATGGGACTTGCTGTGGTCCTGATGCTGAATTCTGTATCTTCTCTTCCAGCTGGGTACCACAACCTTACTGATGGGGCTAGTAAAGAACACGGGAAAGAGACAGCCATTCATCAGGTAACGAGCATGTCCAAAACCAGGGTTCTTGCATGTAGATATGTACAAATGATTGCTTATAAATAATTTATATTTATACATTTATTTTCTGTACACAACATGACTATTATTGCCCTTCATTCTAGGGATGCTGTATTGGTGCCTTGATTTGAACATTGTGTCATTAAAGTGCTAGTTATACCAGTGTACACTGTTAGAGAGTGGGGTACAGTGTCCCCCCCGATCACATTAATAGCTCTAAATTTGGTCACTGGAGATGCTGTGGACTTTAATTTACTTTACTGTCAATCAACTAAAATATGGCAGAGAGTGATGGGAGCCTAAATGAGTACACTACCCTCTTCTGGGGTTCCAAACCTTAAAGGGAAGATGTAGGCACTGTGACCATTTTGTTTCATTGAGTTGGTTATAGTGCCTAGATTTACCTAGCGCTGTCCCTCCATTTAGGGTTAAGCCCTTTTTGGACAAACCTCAGAAGTCAGCAGGGGAACACAGGTGGACTCTAGGTGGGTGTTAAAAGAGTAATACACCGAAGCTAGCAGTGCTGATAAAGTAACAGTTTTTACGTAGAACACATCATATATCTCTATATAAATATATATTTCTTTACATAACAGGTTCACTTTAAAACAATGTTTGAGTAACCATTTAACCAGACCTAGAGGCTGCTGCAGTGTAATTCCTAACTATAATCAGTGGGACCTAAATGACACTATAGTCACCAGAACAACTATAGCTTAATGTAGTTGTTCTGGTGTCTACTGCCTGGTAGGCGTTTTAATGTAAACACTGCCTTTTCAGTTGTTTTCATAACTATATTGACAGGAATACATGTTTGTAGTGTTCTTTGAATCCTGTCCAGGGAGTGAAGCAGTATTTTTTAATTTCACATTCATTAAAATGCACCATTTTGATACAACCAATTTAAAATAGATACATTTACTTTCTGAACCTTACTGGTGCAACTCCCCAGAATGGGTTGACACGTTATAAATTAATAGTAATATATTTATTAGGTGACCAGTAGTTGATGAAGTAGTACAGTTTAGCAATAACAGGTCAAACAATCAAAGTATGATTACACAGTGCTGCAAAGGGCCCCTTGTGGCAAAGTGAAGCAGCACACTTAAATGAGATAGAAGCAGAGACAAAATACACAAGACAAAGTACTCCCTCAAATGTAAGGTCACCCGATGGGCTTCTCTGATCAGGTCGTAGTCAGGTGCTGGGAACCTTTACCAGGGCAGTAGACCGGGCCCCTTAAAGATCTACCTGGGAGGAAGTGAGTACAGGTCACTTTCTCCCAGCTTACAGAGAGAGAGAGAAGAGGAGGCAGAGAGAGGACAGAGAGAGCAGAGTAAAAACCCGGACCTGCCTAGGACTCCCATCAACCAGCACCTGCTGCAGCCAGATCCCAGGATATTCACTCTCCTCCATGCCCAAAGGTATAGAAACAAACAGAGGCGTAACTAGAAGCCACAGGTTCCCGGTGCACAAAATTTCCCTGGGGCCCCCACTCCTCCATGTGTCTCATTTCCCCCCAAGTGTCGTATTTTCTCCCACTCAGTCCTACATGTGTCTCATTCCTCCTAAAGCATCTCATTACCCCCTAGTCCATCCATGTCTCTCACCACCCCCTGCAGCCCCTCCATATGTCTCTCACCTCTGACCCCTGCAGCCCTCCCAGGTGATTTTTTCCTCCTCCCCTGCAGCCCCTCCATGTGTCTCTTCCCCCCCTCCCCAGAAGCCCCTCCATGTGTTCCCTCCTCCCCTTCAGCCCCTCCATGTATCTCTCCTTCCCCTGCAGCCCCTCCATGTGTCTCTCCCTCCTCTGCAGCCCCTCCATGTGTTCCCCCTCCCCTGCAGCCCCTCCATGTGTTCCCCCCTCCCCCTCCCCTGCACCCCATCTATATGTCTCCCCTCCCTCCCCTGCAGCCTTTCTATGTGTCCCACCTACCCTGTATCCCCTCCATGTGCTTTCCCACTCCCATGCAGCCCCTCCATGAGCCTCCTCCCTCCCCAGCAGCCCCTCCATGTGTCTCCCCCCTCCCCTGCAGCCCCTCCATGTGTCTTCTCCATCCCCTGCAGCCCCTCCATGTGTATCCCCCCTCCCCTGCAACCCCTCCTTGTATCGCCTCCTCCCCTGAGGCCCTCCATGTATCGTCATCGTCCGCCGCAGCCCCTCCATGTGTCCTCTTCCCCCTTCCCTGCATTTCCTCCATGTGTCTCGCACTCCTCCCCCTTCATGCAGCCCCTGCATGTGTCTAACCCCAACCTCCCCTGCAGCCCCTATTTTTATCCAATAGTGTAAATTCCACAGAAATGAAAGTTCCTCTTTAAGGGGAATTTAAAGGGGTTTTTTTTTTTATGACTTCCTCACTTAATGTTAGACAGTTAGAGGTATGTATTGTTTACAGACTAATCAAAGTGACTAATGCTGTAGGAAGAGACAAGTATAATGTCACAAGGAAAAAGTCACTGACATCATTCACGTTGCCCAGGTAGCTAACCTGCTCTGTTTATATGTGTCATTACCTTAAAGAGAGTAACCAGTTAGGTGACCAGACTTGTTAAATGATAATTAGCACTCTTGGCAATTGGTTACATTAATCATTATTTGTTCTGTTGCTAAGTAATTAAAGTCAGCAGCATATGGTAATCCTGGGCGGAGTTAATGTCATTCCATTTTTATAATGAAAATTATATTAAAAAGGAGTATTTTTGGTATGTAAAGGCTCTGTTTTCTGATTGCCATGAATATTATCCAGCAAGGAAGGATGCGCATGTTGAGAACATAATCAGCCCCTTTGAAATGTTTTGTATTTCTCATCTTTCTTGAACAGCAAAACATATGATTTATAAAACCTATACAATCATGAGTGAAGGGATCTTAGTCCATTCATCCCCTCCACTAGATTGTCTGGGGGATTTATTCTCCTATCCCATCCTTGCTTCCTACACTCATGAGCAAACATTGCTTCTTACAGCCTAACGGTCCATTGGGTTTGGTGGATCTCCATTTTGTTATAGACCCCCTATAAGCGCTTTATACTGGGGGGTCTGGATGGAAGCACTTATGTGATATTCATGTAACACAGAGTCCTATTATCCATGTGTTTTGTGAACTACATTTCCCATAATTCTCAGCAAGCCTTGAGGGGTGTAAAGGTTAAAGATTGCCTGACTTTCCGAGATAGCTATCTCATTGCCCTACGGGGACTGGTACTATTTATGACACTGTGTTGTTTCTCTCTCTGTCTCTGCAGACATGCAACAGTTCCAGTGACTGCCCGGAAAATCAGTATTGCCATTCTACAGATTATACCACAGAATGCCAAGAATGTAAACCAAAGGAAAAAGTGAGAGATCTATTGATTTTTATTGAAAAGCAAATGCTATCTGATCTGATTTATTTATGAATATTTCAAGATATATGATCCAAATCAAGTCTGTAATAATTAGTGCTGTTCTGTATTTAGTTTACTTTTGCATTTTGTTCCTAATTATCCATAGGTGTCTTCCAGTGTTTTACTAGTGGCTCACAAGCATCTAAATCTATGCCCGCCAATGGCCACCAAGCACCTGGGTACATATCCATACCTCCCAAGTGTCCCAATTTAGGAGGGGCTGCCCTATTTTGAGCCCGAATCCTTAGGTTGCTCTTTTCTATCCTAATGTCCATCTTTTCTAGGGGTTCCATGTTGTTGGTGTGTCTGAGTCTATAACAGAGCTCCACAGTACAGTAATGTGCCTTTAATCTACAATAAATGTGTTTAGAAATCAGTCTGTGTACATAAGATACATTGTTCTTGTTCTAAAGTACATTTTGGTTATATAAATTGTTATTGATAAGTCACCAAACATTTCTCAGAACATCCCAATCCATAAAATGAATGAATGAATTAATTATACAGGGTGGGCCAACATTCAGAATAGGGTTTGAGGAGTTAATAACTTTTATCAATGAACCAATTTCAATGAGATTACATCTGGGAATTTCTTTAAATTATCCGGTAACCGAACAGTTGTCTCAGTTTTGGAAATAAAATTCCACTACTTTCACTTGTTGTTCCTTCATGAAATTACCCATGATGAATCTCCCAAGACTCAGTTGCAATTGTACCTGCAACAAAAAACAAATAAGTTATTTACTTGTCAAATCCTTCTATGAATTTTGGCCCAACCTATATTATACCAATACCTATTCGTTGTCTTTTGGCCTATTTCCACTGGCAGAATACAAAAAAAACCAAAACGAAAGAGTTTCAAATGCAACTCTTTAAATAATAGGTATGAGTATATCTGTATAGTTTTTTAATTTAGAAAAAAAAATCCCAATATTTATTAGAATAAGGTGTCCTTCATATCTTAAAGGGACACTATAGTCACCAGAACAACTACAGCTTATTGAATTTGTTCTGGTGAGTAGAGTCATTACCTTTTTGCCGTAAACACTGTCTTTTCAGAGAAAATGCAGTGTTTACATTACAGCCTAGTGATAACTTCACTGGCCACTCCTCAGATAGCTGATAGATAGAGATCATTCCTGGGTCATGGCTGCCTAAAATGCATCCAAACATTCAGTGTCTCCTCCCTCTGCATGCAGACACTGAACTTTCCTCATAGAGAATCATTGATTCTATTCATCTCTATGAAGAGATGCTGATTGGCCAGGGCTGTGTTTGAATCATGCTGGCTCTGCCCCTGACCTGCCTCCTTGTCAGTCTCAGCCAATCCTATGGGGAAGCACTGTGATTGGATCAGGCCACCACCTCTAATGATGTCAGCAGACTGCTTGTTTTTCTGAGTCTAACAGCATGCAGAGTTGCAGCTTCAGGCTTGAATACAGTAAGATTTTGCTATATTTATGGAGGCATGAGGGGCCCAGAGGGGATAGATGGTGGTGTTAACACCATAGCGTCAGGAATTCATGTTTGTGTTCCTGACCCTATAGTGATCCTTTAACATTCCAACAGTCATATGGAAACACTAATGGAGAAGTGTGTTATTACTTCATTATTATAGTGTTATATGTCATATGAACTTGAACCAGTGGAATCGGTTAACAATAGCTTTCTAGCGTCATGTGGATTCCAGCATTATCACTGGCATTGTATGTAATCTTCATCATCAACAGAATTATCATAATTAACAGCATTATTTTCATATTGTATACGATAAATAGCTTAGAACAGTTCCTTTTTGAGTTTTGACATTTTGATGATCCAGGAGTGTGAGCAAGATGATGAATGCTGCTTTGGACATACCTGTATTTGGAGAAGGTGCACTGAAGTAGATAGCAGTGATGAGATTGGGAGAAGCATTGGTGATAACGAGACAAACACTGGTGATAATGAGATGGGCAATGGTGATAATGAGACAGGCACTGGTGATACCGGGACAAGCACTGGTGATAACGAAACAAGCGATAGTGATAATGAGACAGGCGTTGGTGATAACTGGACAAGCAATGATGAAAACGAAACAAGATGTGGTACAGGCAAAGACCCTTGCGCTCCTGGATTCTGCTGCTCCAGAACAGAAAGTAAGATCCTGTTCACTGCTTTTTTTCACTGTAAATATAAACCTCAAAATTCATTCCCCAAACCATTACCAAAAATAAATGGAACACATTAATGTATTAAAGTGAGGGAAAAAGGAATTTATCCCCTGCTGATTTTGAACATTTGCCCACTGACAAAGAGATGATCAATCTATAACTTTAATAGTAGGTGTATTTTAACAGTGAGAGATAGAATAACAAAAGAACATCACAAAAACGCATGTCAAAAAAGTTATAAATCGTTTTGCATGTCAATGAGTGAACTAAGTATTTGACCCCTTTAACTTAGTGCTTGGTGGCAAAACCCTTGTTGGCAATTGCAGAGGTCAGACGTTTCTTGTAGTTGGCCACCAGGTTTGCACACATCTCAGGAGGGATTTTGTCCCACTCCTCTTTGCAGATCCTCTCCAAGTCATTAAGGTTTCGAGGTTGACGTTTGGCAACTCAAACCTTCAGCTCCCTCCACAGATTTTCTATGGGATTAAGGTCTGGAGACTGGCTAGGCCACTCCAGGACCTCAATGTGCTTCTTATTGAGTCACTCCTTTGTTGCCTTGGCTGTGTGTTTTGGATCATTGTCATGCTGGAATACCCATCCACAACCCATTTTCAATGCCCTAGCTGAGGGAAGGAGGTTCTTATCCAAGATTTGATGGTACATGGCCCCGTCCATCGTCCCTTTGATGCGGTGCAGAAAAACACCCCAAAGCATAATGTTTTCACCTCCATGGTTGACGGTGCGGATGGTGTTTTTGGGGTCATATGCAGCATTTTTCCTCCTCAGAACACTGCGAGTTGAGTTGATGCCAAAGAGCTTGATTTTGGTCTTATCTGACCACAACAACTGCACCCAGTTCTCCTCTGAATCATTCAAATGTTCATGTGCAAACTTCAGCTTGGCCTGTACATGTGCTTTCTTGAGCAGGGGGACCATGCAAACACTGCAGGATTTCATTTCTTCGCGGCGTAATAGGTTACCAATTGTTTTCTTGGGGACTATGGTCCCAGCTGCCTTGAGATCATTAACAAGATACTCCCGTTTAGTTCTGGGCTGATTCCTCACCGTTCTCATGTTCATTGAAACTCCACAAGGTGAGATCTTGCAAGGAGCACCAGACCGAGGGAGACTGACAGTTATTTTGTGTTTCTACTATTTGCAAATAATTGCACCAACTGTTGTCACCTTCTCACTAAGCTGCTTGGCGATGGTCTTGTAGCCCATTCCAGCCTTGTGTAGGTCTACAATCTTGTCCCTGACATCCTTGGACAGCTCTGGTCTTGGCCATGGTGGAGAGTTTGGTATCTGATTGATTGATTGCTTCTGTGGACAGGTGTCTTTTATACAGGTAAAGAGCTAAGATTAAGAGTGCTTCCTTTAAGAGAGTGATCCTAATCTCAGCTCGTTACCTGTATAAAAGATACCTGGAAGCCAGAAATTTTGCTGATTGATAGGGGTTCAAATACCTAATTTTTTTTTGACATGCGTTTTTCTGGATTTTTTGTTGTTGTTTTGTTATTCTGTCTCTCACTGTTAAAATACACCTACTAATAAAATTATAGACTGGTCATTTCTTTGTCAGTGGACAAACATTCAAAATCAGCAGGGGCGCAAATACTTTTTTACCTCACTGTATCAGCAATTCCTGATATATTTGTTTTATTTATATTTAAGAATTTTTTGAGCAGTAGATGATATTTGTGCTGTTTATATGGCTACTCCACAGTACTGACCACTCCACTGCCCAATGAGTGAGAGATTGTTGGGAAGCCTGGGATTACAAGGTTATTTTATTATTATTATTATTATTATTATTACCTAATGGTTATTTGGGTAACCAGGAGTACACGTCACCCCTACATTCATAGTCTAGAACAGGGGTAGGCAACCTTTGACACTCCAGATGTTGTGGAGTATATCTCCCCTGATGCTTTGCCTGCATTATGTCTGTAATAGTGTTATAGGAGATGTAGCCCACAACACCTTGACTGCCGAAGGTCACCTACACCTGGTCTAGAAACGTCTTGGTCCATTGCAAAGCTCCTGCAGCCGCTTAGATGCTTTCATGTATTATTAAATTTGCTTTTCCTTGCCCCCAGGCCAAACAATATGAAATACGATGCACTCTCATGTAATATCACCTCAATCATTGACTCCTACAAAGCCATGCTCCCAATTACATCCAGTGTGCTGCATCTCTATAATGAATTAAAAATAGATTTTACATACACCCTAGAGAGTCACTTTAACTCTGAGCCGCAGCTGTGGACTGTGACATGATGACAGTAATCATGTAACCAGTAAGAAATCTTAACAATGCAGCTACTTATTGCAGATATTGGCCTTGATTTATAAGCTTTCCAAATGATTCAATACTCTCAGAAAAACTTTCCAATTGATTGATCTTCACAAATTCCCACTTTAATGGTGGCATCTGTAGATAAATCATTCATAAAGTTATTCTTACGATATGGAATCTATTGAAAAGTTTATTAAATTGAGGTCATTGTTTTTAAAATAAACAAATAAAACAGTTTAAAAAACATTTGTTTTTGTTAAAGGGTGACTTTTTTTGTAATGGCTGAATTTTATTTAAAGGGACATTATAGTCACCTGAACAACTTTAGGTTAATGAAGCAGTTTTGGTGTATAGAACATGCCCCTGCAGCCTCACTGCTCAATCCTCTGCCATTTAGGAGTTACATCACTTTGTTTATGAACCCTAGTCACACCTCCCTGCATGTGACTTGCACAGCCTTCCATAAACACTTCCTGTAAAGAGAGCCCTATTTAGGCTTTCTTTATTGCAAGTTCTGTTTAATTAAGATTTTCTTATGCCCTGCTATGTTAATAGCTTGATATACCCTGCAAGAGCCTCCTGTATGTGATTAAAGTTCAATTTGGAGATTGAGATACAATTATTTAAGGTAAATTATATCTGTTTGAAAGTGAAACCAGTTTGTTTTTTCATGCAGGCTCTGTCAATCATAGCCAGGGGAGGTGTGGCTAGGGCTGCATAAACAGAAACAAAGTGATTTAACTCCTAAATGGCAGTGAAATGAGCAGTGAAATTGCAGGGGAATGATCTATACACAAAAACTGCTTTATTTAGCTAAAGTAATTTAGGTGACTATAGTGTTCCTTTAACTGTATAAACTGTAAAATAATGAAAAACTAATTTAAATAACCAATTTAAAAAAATTAAATATCTATCTTTCTAAATATTAAAAAGGTCTGACAAGTATAAATTCACTCCTACTGGGCATGCCATGGACCCTCCAGACTTGCAGTGGCAAGTAATCCTGGCTAGTAGTGTGGCCTGTAAAAATTAACTGTTGATTCTGATTTTGGTAGCTAAAATTCAAGTCAAAATCACCAAGATGCTTAACACCCTATCAAACACAGCCAAGTTGTGTTTCCTTGCTTGCAAAGGAAGATAGAACAGTGTCTATTTCAAAAAGAATTTGTCAGCAAACAATATTTAAAAATATAAAGAAAATAGTAAAAATGTAATGGCACGTTTAAAACTTAACAAGGTGATGCAATATGACTGTACAAACCAGTGTCTTTTGTGAACATTGAATGTCCAAGTTGTACAATTTTTATTTTGTATGTCTTCCCCTTACTTCTAGCGTCCCAGTTCCCAGTTTGCATTCCTTTTCCAGCTAAAGGAGACCAATGTGGAAACCAACTAATAAATCTTTTTGGCGAGGGTTCGGCCTTTGGTTCTCTTTCTGGCTATTGTACTTGTGCCGAGGGCCTGGTTTGTACCAGCAAAGGGTAAGATTGTCACAGATCAAAAAAAAGAAAAGAATGAATAGGGAAAATAAACCAATTGCTACAAATCTAGCCGTGAATAGAGGTGTTTCCTACGCTCATTGTTTGAGGAGGATAAAGAGTTATGCTTTGCCTTACGCCCTTACAAATCATATCAAAGATACCAGGAATACCAGGCAGAGCTTAAAGAACCACTATAGTGCCAGGAAAACATACCCCCACCCTCAGGGTCCCCCTCCCGCCGGGCTGGATGGCGAGGAAAGGGTTAAATCTTACCTTTTTTTCCAGCGCCGGGCGGGGAGCTCTCCTCCTCCTCTCCTCCTCTTCGGCTGAATGCGCAAGCGCGGCAGGAGCTGCGCATGCATTCAGCCTGTCTCATAGGAAAGCGTTCATAATGCTTTCCTATGGACGCTGGCGTCATCTCACTGTGATTTTCACAGTGAGAAGCACGCAAACGCCTCTAGTGGCTGTCAATGAGACAGCCTCTACAGGCTTTAGAGGCTGGATTAACCCTAATATAAACATAGCAGTTTCTCTGAAACTGCTATGTTTATAAAAAAAAGGGGTTAATCCTAGAGGGACCTGGCACCCAGACCACTTCATTAAGCTGAAGTGGTGCCTAGATTGGTCCTTTAACTCCACATTAGTCATAAAATGGCAGATTGTGACAAAGGCACCATAATGGCTCCAATTGTGGCTGGTGAAGTTTTAAGATGGTGGGTGCCAGACTCCTTCCCCAGAGTTTTACTTCTCTCTATACATTAAAGAGATACTCATACAATACAGAGAGCCGAGCATAATACCAAGATGCTCATACATTAAAACAAGCTGGGCCCAATACAAAGATATCTACACAATACACAGAGCTGGGTATACTACAGAGATACCCATACAACAAGTAGAGCTGAGGAAAATACAGAGAAATCCCTCATAGAGCTGGGCACAATAATAAGATAACATAACTATCTCACACAGCCAGGATCACTGTGATGGATTACACAGAGCTGCAATACAGAGATACCCACACAGCATGGCCGAACTGGGGAAAAAATTAAGTCCAGGCATTTTTTTAAGCACAGCAGCCCACTGAGAAGGGGGCGGGGACAGAGAGAGGCGTTTTGTCATCACCAATGACAAGAATGCCCCCTCTCAAAGTGAGCTTGTTGGTTTGTTGCCCTTCCAGGGCAGAACATGCACAGAGCCCTGCTGAAGAGCTCTAGCATAAGAAAAAGGTATTTGTTCTGCTCAGCGAAAGCAAATTTATTAACATGCTTGCACTGTGTTTGCTTGTAACCTGTCTCTGGTGTCTCAATAAGTGGGATTACAGAGGACAAAATGGCCAGGAAAGCGAATTGTGCATGTGTTTGGAGCCTGCTTGTTGGATTGAGTGTGTAGAGCGAGCTGATTGTGGTGTAGTATTGTGTAAATAGGTCGGTTTAAGTCATGTTGTGTTTGTGGCATAATATGTGTGGCTAGGGGCTGTAGAGAGCGAGCGAGTGTGTGTATAGGGGACATAGTGTGTATAGTGAATGTGGTGAGTGTATGCATAGGGGATGTAGTGTATGTGTGTATAGGTGATGTAATGTGTGTTGGGTTATAGAAAATTTGTGTTTAGGGAATGTATTATATGTTTTCTTACATGGGAACTAGTGTATGCACAGAGGATCCAGTATGTATGTAGGTGGTGCAGTGTGTGTCTTTACAGGATCTTTTGTGTGTGTGTGTTTGGGGATCTAGAGTATGTATACGGAATCTAATGTGTGTGTGTGTGGGGGTTAGCTGATCCAAAGTTGTGTACTGGATCTAGTCCAGTGTGTGTAATAGATGCAATGTGTGTGTGAGGGGTGCTGTGTGTGAATGGAGTTGTGTTGTAAAGAGTGCAGTATGTGTGTTTGAAGGGTGCTGTATGTGTGTGTGTGTGAGGTGTGCTGTATGAGTGTGTGTGGGGTGAAGTGTTTGTGTGAGAGGGGTGCAGTATGTGTGAGGTGTGTGTGAGGGGGGTGCTGTGTGTGAGAGAGGGATGCTGTGTGTTACAGGAGTACAAGAGGGGTGCTTTGTGTGCCTGAGTGGTGCTGTGTATGTGAGGGGTGCTGTATGTGTGAGAGATGCAGTGTGTAAGGGGTGCTGTGTGTGTGTGAGAGAGGTTCTTTGTGTGTGTGTGTGTGTGTGTTAGGGGTGCTGTGTGTGAATATGTTTAGAAGCTTTGTGTGTGTGGGGCAGATTAATGCATATATATATATATATATATATATATATATATGTTTTGGGTTTTTTAATTAAAAAAAACAAAAATTTGTATCCCCCCCTTCCTTCTTACATTTTCCCTGGGAGGGGAGACATTACTTGTAATCCCTGACAATACAAGTGGGGAGAGAACTGGGTATGTTCTCCCTCCTGTACTGGCTGCCGCATCTCACTGCCAGGGGGCCAGTGAGGGAGATCTTTGATCACACCTTTTCAACTAGCAAACAAGAGCGTCTCAGGTCTCAGCTGTAATGAAGATGGTGGGTATGTGCAGTACGAGTTATTCAAACTATTAATGACAGGCAGGACAGTGCTCTGTGTCAGAAATGCCCCCCTCCGTTTGTCACCCTTGGGCTTCCTTGGCTTTATATATATTAATTATATATTTGAGTAAATAATCTGCCCTCAGGCTATCACTAGGGCTGTGGGGGAGAGAAAAAGATATTATACACATTTGGCAGGGGACAGAAGCTACTGCCGCTGTGCTCTTTCTGTGCTGCTTCCAAGATAGCGTCTTGCTTCTCTCTGCTGTGGGCACTGTAACACTTCCACCTGGTGCCATCAGCCAGTGATAGCCTCATGCACAATGAGGCCAATAGTGTGCCTCCACTCATGGGAAGCTGGCTCTGCTGCCCCAATGGCAACTCAATAGAAATGTTTAAAATACTTTCTTAAAGGACACTAGGCATGTGCATAACCTGCTGAAACAGGGCAGATAGTTAAACCAGACCCATATTTATGACATGCCTAGAGGCTCATAAGTAAGCTTCTCTAAACAGCTACCAATAGGGAGGACTGAAATTTATTACAGACCTAAAAAGACATTTATATTTTCCTATATTACTCTCAAGAAAAAGAATCATAGTGTTTCTAAACTACTGCAAATACATTTTTTGCCACATAACTGTATGTAAGCTCTTCCCCAAGTTGGCTCTGTTCTTTGAACAGGGGCTCTCTGCATTGTCTGCCCTCAGTGGGCTGGTCTTTATGATTGAAAGGCAGCCTGGTGTGCATTTATGCTCTTAGGGCATTACCATTGATGTGAGTCATATGACTGTCCTGTCCTCTTTTACCTCAAACATCGAATTCCTGCTTCACAGGGCCCCAATGTTGGGGGGTATGCCGAGTTCTTACACACATAGGAAGCAGCAGTAAACCATTTGGGCACTGTGTCTTTCTAGTTCTTTTGGGCTCTTGGGTCAAGACCCTTAAATCTTTCTGTTAGACTGTAGAGGTAAACTCAACAGAGTAAAGCAGGTTTTTCATCAAATCTTTTCTTCACTAGGGTGTCAGGGCTTACCTGTGGTTGGAGTCCAGAGTGCAGAGATAATGCTCACCTTTGCAAAATATCACAGTCCATGGTGACTAGTGAGATAAATCCTGATGATAGTGAACGGGGGCAGATTTGGAAGTGCTGTACAGACAAAGGAAAATCCAAAATCAGAGTATAAGACACATCCACAGATCAGGGCTGCCAGCTAGTATGCATAAATTATAGTCCAGAAATAGAAGTACAAGACCGGAGAGTCAGGAGTAGGTAGGATACTTGCAGAAACAGCAACAAAGAACTGACCCTGAAGTTGATGATAGGAAGGGCTTTAGGCCAGTTAATGAGCTACGGATGAGGCAAATAACTGCAGGTTAGTCAGCACGATGTCACCCCCCTGAGATGCATGATAAACTGCAAAACAAACTCACAGGTGTCAAACTGCAGTGGCTCACTGGTAGAGAACATGACTGGGAACAATGAGGGTCTGAGTTCAGCCCGATCTCCCAAAAGGGAGGCCAAACCTGGCAGTCCGCACTGATGGAGACAAACCATGACACAAGGTTCAAAGTTTATTTTAAATATAAGGCTAGAGTAGCTGAACTGAAAGCATAGCTGACTTAGAGAATGTTTCCATTTCAGCTTTTTTGACCTCAAATTTGAAATTCACTTTAAATTCATCATGAATTCTCCTTTTGATGATTAACCATGTATAACTGTTTTTCACTATAACCATGATGGGTGGTAATTCCACTTCTTTCCTTATTTTAATAAAGGTTGTTCCTATCTCCTACTTGTGAGAAGCCAGATGATGTACTAGATTTCACCGCCTACAGAAGTGAACACATTTTGCAAACACTGGCGCCGTGGACTGTAAAGTATGACAACTTAGTAATGGACCTACCTAAAGCTGCTGTAGAAAGTGGGACAGAAGCTGAAAACGCTTTTAATATGCTTGGTGATGTCAGGGTGGGTAGCTTGGAGAGTGAGAAGAACATGCAATTTGAAGAACATGCCAATGAACCCTCTGAGCCAAGTCAAGTTGAATTTCAGGAACTTAAACAACTTGCCAAACAAATGGGACAATTTTTAGGTCCTGGGTTCTATTGATCTTACGTTTGTTGTCTCTAATAGGTTTGTAAAAAGATTATATTTCGAAAACTTATAGAGTTATTCACTACAGTGGGAAATATAGGGAATTCAAAATGAATTTTAAAGGTGAACGTAAGTGAACTGGAACAATAGATGCCTTGGAGAATTTTTCAGTTCATCTCTTTTGCCATTTAATTTGAAATTCACTTTCAATTCCCACTTCAATTCTCTATTTATTGAAAAGCACTGTTAGATTACTTATCTTTGAAATTTTAAAGATTATCTATTTTTGCTGATTATAGTTTTTTTGTTTGTTTGGCAATAAATAATATTCTAGCATTATAATTATGTCCTACTTTTTGTACATTATGCTGAATTACAGAATTAAAAAATATCTGGATTGTGTAAATTAGGCCCCGAACAGGCTTGAATTTGGGCCAGACTTCAGCCTGACTGAGTGATGCTGGATGGCTCAAATTTGGACCGAATTAATTAAATCTGGGCCCAGAGGATTCAACTCTGGATCTGAGGGCTTCAACTCTGGGCATGGACTATGTGATATGTGCTATGGAGTATGTGCTATGATCAGCATGCAAATAGCTAAAAAAAACAATGGCAGAATGAGGTTTAATATGTGGTGGCTGGACAGTGCTTTCTAAAGTGCTAATAAAAAAAGTACAAAAAAGACCAGTAAGCATTGGATAGAGACTAATATACAAATTCATGGTGGAGAACCCCCACCCATGGTCAACAGGTAGGGGCCCTAATATTAATAAAGGGGGGGCCTAGGTTTTCTTGAGTCATTTAGATATACTGCTGATATTTCTGTAGATTCAACGTCATCCGTCTATGTATCTACCTACCTATCTATCTATACAAAATATAAAAGTTTATAATGGCGATGAAACAATGGGCATTTAGTTGCAAAAATGCCATCACACTAAATCCTATCCTAAGAATTGCTCTTATAAATTTATTTTCCTATGGAATTCTGCAACTCAAGGTTACATGAGAAAGTGGAAAATATTAATCTCTGTTTTACCCCACCTGTCCCACAGCAGCAGGTTACATGAGGAATGGATATGGACATTTTGTGGTACCCATCTAGACTTTGGTCCTTACAACCTGCAGAAACAAAGAGACAAAGTTAAATCTCTTGCATTCCATGCATATTATGGGGTCCTTGGTTTCCCATTTCTTTATTTTTTTTATTATTATTATTATTATTGCCATTTATATTATTATTACTATTATTATTATTATTATTATTATGTTATTTATATAGCGTCATCAAATTCCACAGTGCTTTACAATGGGTGGACAAACAGACATGTAGTTGTAACCAGACAAGTTGGACACACAGGACCAGAGGGGTTGAGGTCCCTGCTCAATGAGCTCACATGCTAGAGGGTGTGGGGTAAACTGGCACAAAAAGGTAAGGATAGTATTAGACTAGTGACAGTTGCAGAAGAGGAATCAGTCGGGAGCTATTAACAGTTTAATTGATACGCTTTTATGAAGAAGAGGGTTTTTAATGATTTTTTGAAGGAGTGGAGACTGGGTGAGACTCTAACGGAGGAGGGAATCCGTAGCGCTTTACAATATTATGAGAGGGGGGATTTAACTATAAATAGGACAATTACAAGAAAACTTACAGGAACGATAGGGGACCCTGCTCAAACGAGCTTACAGTCTATAGGAGGTAGGGTATAAAACACACTAGGACAGGAAATAGCAATCAAATAAGGTGGGAGTGAAGCAGAGCTGGAGGAGAGAGTAAAGTGCTACCCTTTAGGAGAGAGCAAGAGACCGGAATGTGAGGTAGAGGTTAATCTGGTAGGCCATAAGCTTTCCTAAAGAGATGGGTTTTAAGGCACTTCTTAAATGATCGAAGACTAGGGGAGAGTCTGATGGTGGTAGGCAGGCTATTCCATAGGAAGCGAGATGCCTGCGAGAAGTCCTGCAAGTGTGAGTTGGCCATACGGGTGCGAGCAGCGGACAGAAGAGGGTCAGAGGCAAGACGGATCTGTGAAGAGATATATGGATCTGTGAAGAGATATAAGAGGGGCTAGAATTGTTCAGTGCTTTACAGGTATGGGTTAGCAATTTGAATTGACTCCTATAGGATACAGGAAGCCAATGTAAGGACTGACAGAGGTGTGAGGTGTGCAAGGACCGACTAGAGGAAAATCAATCTGGTGGCAGCATTCATTACAGACTGTAACGGGGCAATGCGGCTTTTGGGAAGACCAATTAGGAGAGGGTTACCTTTATCCATTCGGGAAATTACTAGAGCATGGACAAGCTCCTTGGTAGCATCTTGCATAAGAAAGGGTGGATGGGTGCTGTGTTTTTAAGATTGAACCCACAGAATTTGGCAACATACTGGATGTGAGGCTCAAAGGTGAAGCCAGAATCAAGTATGACGCCAAGACAGCGCACTTGCAAGGATGGACTTATGTGCAGAGGCGGCTCTAGACATTATGAGGCCTTAGGCGAAACTCAAACATGAGGCCCCACTAATGCCAAAGTGAAAAAAATTGTTGCAATACATGCACACATACACACATTGATGCACTGTCTACCTGTGTATGTGCCTGAGAACTGTGTCTGACAGAGAGTATCCTTGTGTGTGTGAACGCATGTCTCTGTGAGCATGTTTGCATTTTTGTCTGGGACTGTATGGGTTAGCTGCTTGAAGTGTGTTGTGTGTATGGGGGTCTGCCTGTGGCCTTTGTGCATTGTGTTTATGGCAAAGCTATGTTCCCTGACTGTGTGTGTATGATGAATGTCTTTAGCTGGTGACTGTGACAAGATGAGTAAAGGGGTACCAGTGGCAGGAAGAGTGTGACAGGGCAAAGGGGCTAAATGGGACAGGGTGGGGGCGAGACAGGTGGTTGTGGGAGAAAATGAAGGAGAGGGAGTATGACATGGTTTGATGAGGTAGTGTGAGGGCGAATGGAGGTAAGTGTGTCAGAGCAATTGTGGCATGGTAGGAGGGACGAGTGTGACAGGATTAAGGGGGTTAATGTGACAGGGTGAGTATTGCAGAGTGAAGGGCAGGTGAGTTTGGATGGGGTGAGATTAACAGGATTAGGAGTGGATAATGTGAGGGTAGATGCATGAAGAGGCTGCCAGTGTAGGGGGGTGTGACAGTGTAGGGAGGGGTGACAATGTGTGGGGAGGTGACAGTTTGAGGGAATGCTAACAGTGTGTCTCGGGAGGCTGACAGTGTGTGGGAGTATGGTCACACAACATTGTTGTGGGTGACTATTTGTGGGTGGCATGACAGTGTGTGTGAGGGGGGTGATACTGTGTGTTTGGGGTGGCGATCCTGTGTGTGAGAGGGTGATGGTGTGAGGGAGGGAGGGTGATGGTGAGAGGGAGAGGGGGGTGATGGTGAGAGGTATCCAGCGGTCGCCTAATTAGAGAGCCGCCTCCGCTTATGTGGATCCCACTAACTTCAAGGGAGAGCGAAAGAGGAGGATCTGTATTAGGAGGAGGAAAGACAAGGAGCTCAGTTTTAAAGGTTGTTTAGGTGACCAGGAGTCCCCAGCGGTCGCCTAATTAGAGAGCCGCCTCTGCTTATGTGGATCCCACTAACTTAAAGGGAGAGCGAAAGAGGAGGATCTGTATTAGGAGGAGGAAAGACAAGGAGCTCAGTTTTAAAGAGACTGAGTTTCGGAAAGGCTAGCAGTGACACGTTGCAGGGCGGCAGGGGAGAGCTCCGGGGAGGAGAGATATATCTGGGTGTCATCAGCGTACAGGTGAGAGTGGAATTCAAATGAGGTAATAAGTTTGCCAAGAGAGGTAGTATAAAGAGAAAATAGAAGGGGACCAAGGACAGAGCCTTGGGGGACTCCAACCGAGACAGGACGAGGGGAGAAGGTATCATTAGAAAAAGAGACACTAAATGAGCATTGGGAGAGATAAGAGGAAAACCAAGAGAGGACAGAGTCACAGAGAATGAGTGATTGAAGAGTTTGAAGAAGGAGAGCATGATCAACGGTTTCAAAGGCAGCAGAGAGGTCAAGAAGAATTAGTATGGAGTAGTGGTCTTTGGTTTTAGCTGCGATTAGGTTGCTAGTAACTGTGATAAGAGCAGTCTCGGTAGAGTTCAGTGGGCGGAAGCCAGATTGAAGAGGGTCAAGGAGAGAGTTGGAATTGAGGAAGTGAGACATACGGTAAATACAAGTCTTTCCAGAAGACTTGAGGAAAAAGGGAGCAGGGATATGGGACGATAGTTAGAGGGGGAGGATGGGTCAAGAGATGGTTTTTTAATAATAGGTATTACAGTGACATGTTTAAGGTCAGCAGGGACAATGCCAGAAGAGAGAGAACAGTTGAAGATGTGTGTTAAGGATGGCACAAGACAGGGGGAGAGAGATCTGATAAGGTGAGGTGGGACAGGATCGAGCGGGCAAGTGGTGGGGCGAGAGGAAAGGAGACGCTCAGCCACCTCTTGTTCAGTAGTTGGGGAGAAAGTCTGAAGGGTAGGAAAGGCATGATCTACGTGCAGTTGAGAAAGAGAATGGCAAGGTGGGGAGAATTCTTTCCTTAGCTGTTCAATCTTGTCGGTAAAGTAGCATGCAAAGCTATCGGCTGTAAGGTTAGTTTGGGGGGTGGCCACAGCAGGGCGAAGAAGAGAGTTAAAGGTGTCAAAGAGATGCCTGGGATTGTGGGAGCATTAACTAATGAGAGGAAAAGTATGACTGTTTGGCGAGGGCAAGGGCTGCGCTGTATGAACACAATATGAATCTATAATGGAGATTTCTTCTGCTAATTATGTGTTTACAGTTTTCAGGGAACTGTCAAAGACCACATATACAGACTGAAAACATCATGATTTCTATGCTCTGTAAAATAGACAATATATATCTTTAATAATAATAATGGACACAAAGACAATATGGGGAGAATATTATCCCTAAAACTGGGAAAACCAACAAAAAGCCTAGGCTAGCAGGAGTTGACCCCAAGGGATGTACTCCTGAAACAATGAGACAAATGTGCTATTCAACACAATAGAGGGTATTACTGTTTTAAAGTACTACACTAAACAATAATAGTTAATATATGAAACGTGTTTATTCACCAAACTAAGTTTTTTTTTAATGAACTAAAAGATGTATGGCAGCATTTAGACCAAAACGACTGGTATTCTCCAAAGGAGCTATATTATATTTTAAATTTCAGGTTTAAAATCACTGCAATTTCAACTTTAACATATAAACCCCTTATTTTACCATGTGATATAATAAAGGAACAAATTTGTATTCCTGACCCTATAGTGTTAAAACCACCATTTAGGTGGCTTGCCCCGCATTAGCCCCCTTAAAAGGTTAGAAAACTTAAATTGTTTCCAGCGCTGTGCGGGTCCGCTGGTGCAGGCCCCGCCTCCGATCCTCCTCCTTGCTGACATCATC